AAGAAGCTACACAAAGGACGCCCATCAATCGCAATCCCTTGGCTACTTGGAACTACCCAGGGCTCTATCAAACTAGCAAAGTGGTTTACAGACTCCAAGTTCTACCAAGAAGTGTGTATATCACATACACAAAGCTCTCCTACCTTATAAGGGAGCCCTCAAAAGTCTACTAGTTTCCTTTTACTCTTCTCTTTACTATTCTCTCATTTACTTTATTCCATTATCAGAGGCGGAGGCAGCGGCGAACAGGGGCTAGGATCACAGGCTGGAGGATCATGCTGCAAAGAGGTGGCAGCACTACTGTTTTACTTCCTCAAGCGGACAAAACAACAGCTAAAGCGTACATGTAAACCCCGCTACAGCCTTTAAACTCTTATATAATCTAGCTAGCTAGACAGGAAGCCAGGGGCCTCCCCCCCTGGCGTCTTTTGCCCCAACGGGGACTGAAGGGCACGTGACTTGCGTACGTGTCCGCCTAGACGTTAAATAGACACACACACACACACTCTCTCCTTCTCTCTTCATCTCTTACTACCATTGAGAACCGACGTATGCTTTTCTTATCGCTATATAAATCTCTTGGGCATGGACTTGACTCGGACTTGGACTTGCGCAAGAGGCGTATACGGGAAATTGTGTTCCGATTCTTGAGAGTGTTTGTGTTTGGTCTATCGGTGATGGGTAGGAGGGGTATGTTGGGTTGAGATGTTGATTTTGGGGGTAGGGATTGTGGTCTTGTGGTGTGTGAGGGGGTTGGGGGTGTGTTGAGGATGTTTCGTGGTGGTGATTGGGTGTTGGGAGGGAAGGGTGTTGGGATGAGGACGGGAATGGGGGTGTGATGGATTGGTTTTGGTGTTGGTGTTGGTTCTCATCGCTTGAATCGAGGGAGGGAGTTTCGTATACAGAGAGAGTCCTTGATGGATACGAAGACCAGGTTTCAAAGCGTTCCATCGTCGCCATAGCACGCGTATCGGCTTGTTGTTGTTGTTGAAGGTCTTCACATACGCCATCGAAGGATGCCTCATATTCATTGAGACTCCTCAATGGATACGAGGACGAGGTCTCAAAGCGTTCCATCGTCGCCATACCGGGCGTTTCATACACGACTCGGGCACGAAGATACTGTGGAAGAGTGTCGCTAAAGCCATCGAGACTGTCTAGAGCACAACCGATGAGGTGTACTTGTCCTTGTTGGATATTGGTGAGGTACGAGGGGTCTTGATGGAGAGAGAGCTGGTGGAGGTTGTGGGCTTGTATGGCTTGAGTCGTGAGGGGCTGATGAGAAGTGGAAGTTATGTTGGACTGTGAGCCTTGGGGTTGTTGGTGAGAGGTGTGAGGATGGAACGAGTTGGTGCAGGTGGTGTAGTTTGATGAGGCTCTTGAGGAAGGTCCAACGTTTCTGAGATTTTGGGTTAGCCTAGTTCCGGAAGGGTTTGTAGATGAGAAAGTCTGGGGAGAGGACTGGGAGGATCGAGAGGGTCATGGTATATGAAGAACGCTGAAAGGTTGTGGTTTACCTTGACGAGGAGGCTTGGGGGTGTGTTCCAGACATATTTGGGATCGGTCGTGAGGATTTTCAAGAAATGACTCCTAGGTAAAGGTCATACATATATTACGATGTACTGAAGTACTTCTGTATCGGTAAGGATGGAGAAAGAATGAAGTGATAGCGATGTGGATGTGGATTTCGATCCGGGTATGCCATCTTATTTATATATTTTCCCTTCTCGCAGAGCGACATGTATTGAGGGAAAGGGATGGCAGATGGCCAACTCAATATCTAGTACCCCTTCACCAGTCCGCTGAATTTCATCTCCATACTCCCGTAATGCGAACCATTCACCACGCAGTTTGCGAACCACAGATTCAGTAGCACCCACGATCTATGGGCCATCCCCAAGGCAGAAAAGGATGAGAAAGCCGCATCCCGCGGGGCCGCAACACCAGCATTTTCTCTTTGTACGACAGTACGTACCCTTGTGGCCTTGCCATGCGACCACAGTAAGCGAACCAACAAACCTCTTCCCTCCTTCCCATGCGAACCATTTTTCAGGCAGTTTGCGAACCACAAATGCGATCATTGTCCCATTCCTTTTCCTCCGACCATCCGATCACCACGCCGCGAGTCTTCATCATTTGTTATGAGACGTTGTGGAGGCAGTCGTCTATTCCATAGCCGAATCTGCAGAGCTAACATGAAAGCACTAATAGTCTGTGCCCTTCCTACGGCAAGGGCGCCGTAGGAAGGGCACAGACTATTATATCATAGGAAGTTCGTCGAATCAATCAAAAAACATAAGGTTAAATTTATTCAAAGGTAGGGATATTTTCTGAAACGCCGGTACAGATTCCGATTCTTTACTCTAACAGATCATAGATGTCAAGCGATATATTCTCCTCGGGGGATCGCGCAGCATTTACAAGCTGCTCGGGTTTTTGAATCATCATCTACAACGATTTCGCAAACTGACCGATCCCGGTGGATCAGAACTCGCAAGGGCCTAAACCCGTCGTTGGGCGCGACAAATTGTGGGTTTGAGCGGCCACACGGAGCAATCAGAATCATGTTTTGCCTCGCTCTGGAGGCGTATGACCAGCCGTGGGTGAGAAGACATCATATCAAATTATTTATCGCCCCGCTTGATGGGAACTCCTCCTTGAAAGATACGGCGAATCGGCAACAAAATAGTCAGCCTGCATCCTTCCTGTCAGCGTGGGAATGGCCAGTTACAGCCTCAACCGACGAATCAGCTCATAGCCAGTGTCATCATATCATTGGTCGCCGTTTCCTATATTATGACTTTTTTGATTTGCCTCATTTGCCTTACTTTGCCTTTTTAAACGCCTCCTTTTCCGGGCTGTGACCCTTTTCTCTATTCATCCCATTGGTCGAATAGTACGACATCCTACTTTTTTGTTTCCCTTTCCCGGGGTTTCTAGTGGTGGTGGTGTTCCCCATGGTGCATGCGCGCGGGGTTCGTACAGCATGCAGACCACGGGGATTGGTCAATTCTTCACATCCCCACACCACCAACAATGTGATGATGCTTGATAAGTGCAAGGTATATTTGGGCTGGATGATACTACACACATCGCCTCCCATAGCCGACTATAAGGCCACTTTACGATACGGCGCAACAATTTAGCTGGGGGGTATACATATAACCTAGCTTGTTTTTTTTCCTGTTCATGATCTGATTATAGCTATAAAATTTAACACTTACAATAACTTACAGCCTCAGTCGGATACCTCAGCCTTGCTAATTGCTTATTCGTAGTATGGTTACTAACGTACAGTTCTCGAGTACCCACGCCGAATGGTACCTTTTCTTAATACAAATAGGACAATGGCGAATATTTTGGTTGGGACATAGTACTCGACTGGTTGTAAATACAAATTGACTTCACAAGGCTCTTTTGATTCATTCGAATCCTGTCACAATCGCTATATTGTACTGTGTATGATATCTAAATGATCTCCATCAGTCGCAGTGATCGAAGCAGAATGGGATTCTCGTCTTTACAGCTCAGACAAGACACAATGCTGGTAGTAAGTCTATTTATCCTCGGAGTATTTTATTTACTGTCAAGTATTTGCTTCTAAACAAGAATATCAAAATTTCTATTCAGCTCTAATCTCAAAAATTCTTTCCGTGGCGGCTATGAACTTTCTAGGAGCGTCAAGTAAAGCTCATTCTACCAGAAGTATCCCTTAAGCTACTATGTGCACGTCCTACGATAAGGTCGATGCCCGAAAAAACCCACCCAACAAGCATTTGAGCCTCAAAAGCTCCAGTGACCAGTCTTTCCCCACTGCGTCTGCACGTAACATGTCCTCCATCCTGAGGTTAAATGTCGCTTAGCTAGGCTAGGGTATCGCTTGAACGATTCGCAAGCCTCGGATATCTAGTTCCTTAGCGAAACTTTCGGGGCTATACCCTGGACTTACCCCCGCGTTTTCAAGAATATACCATGAGGACAGTTACAGGGTAGCCCCATGATACCATGGAAGGTTCCATAGAATACAAGAAACGTGAACTTTTACATGACTGTTGGGCGCGGATATTATCGCCTTAAATATTGCCCATGTAAAAGCAGGATATGTGTAACGTCAAGAATGAGGTGAATATTTTCTAGGCTATGTTAGATGCATTTGGTAATGATCATCAGAGAGAGAATAGAAATAGTATATGGCAAATGGTATTCGGTATTCTATATATATTAACTAAGGTTTGTGAGGATTCGAGTATCCGTATTAGTAGACTAAGGAAAATGAGAGAACTTAAGAAAACAAGATAAGCTGCTATACCAGAAACAAGAGCGTAATCTTAGTATACTCTTAGCCCCAAACAGAAATTTCTTTTTTAATTCTCTACGCTTAACTTGTGATAGCTATATTAAGTTTGGCATTGTTAATTTTGGGTTGTTACCGAGAGCTAGCTTTTACCTTACTATAAATAATTTAACGCTATTTAGCTAAGTCTAACCAATTATATCCCTTAGCAAGTCTCTATGCAACTTACAGCTCAAGCCAAAAAAAGCTCATTGCAATAATGTGGAAGTATATTTATAAAAGTTTGCATTCCTACTATGCTAGCTTTTGGAGAATCGCCGTTCGTAGGGCGATTTTTCCACTATATAATGATGCGCCCAATCTAGCAAACAATATTTATTAATCTGCTTCACTACTTTACACATTTACTGATCTGAGATAGGAGAGTGTGACCTTTCAAAAATGATAGTCCGAACGTGGAAGTCGCTGTAGTAGAGTGGTCTCCCATCCAGCCCACCTATCTCCCGCCCCGTATAATTCCAAGTCGCACCACTAGAAAACTCCCATTAGCCACTGCACAAGTACTCAGCATAGACAAGATACATACTCGGGAGATTCAAACTGGTAGGTGATTCTCAGAGTCACACCATCTCCCATGGCGCCCTTGGGTGGTTTCCACAAATTCGAAGTGACTCTTCTCCGGATCGTTCCTCCATCAGTCAACGCACATGGGATATCAGGACCACCAATTCCGTCTGTGTATACGTATTTGGAGGCCTCGCAATGGGCGGTAAAGCCGGGGACATTGGGATTGTACCCAGTCAGTTCGTTCCCTTTGAGGTTGAAACTCCAGCGACAGTCTCCGGTCGTTTCGACGGCGGTGCATGCTGCCATCCAGCCCGTCACTGCCCATGCGTAGTTGGATCCTGTGGGTGGTGCCAAATTTGGCAGTGCTTGGGCGACTGGATTTGCTGATACAGTTGAGAAGAGTGTAGCGATGGTGAGAATGTTGGAAAGCATTTTGAATTCTAAAAGAGTGTATAAGGAATCGATAAGAGAGAGAGAGTTCTTGTTCTTGCTCTGGAAGTGACTGTGGGTGGAAAAAGAGTGATGGAAGAAAAATGTGTGAATTCGGAAGACCGCGGCGATATATAACCAGATGACTAGTATTAGAAGCTATATGCTTCAAACTTTGGAGCAGCAACAACCTAGGGGGGCTTATATTAATCTCATGCCACCATAAAGTTACTTTAAACGCCTTCAGGGTTGTTATTTTCTCGCTAATTATATCACGTGATACAAAGACGACTTATCCCGTTGAAAAGTCTTGTCCTTTAGCGAGAAGCCGTATTCGGTTTTGCACTTGCATCCAGAGTATTACAAGTCACTTCAAATTCTGCTCAAACTCCAGTAGGTGTATATTTCCACGATTTTGTGTCTGTAGCTGGTGGGGCTATGCCTGTTTATGTGGTTCGCAGCGGGAGCAGATAAATGCGTCCGCAGTACTCAATCATGTGGCATATTCGTGTTCTGTGCAGAAGGCAGGGAGTAGGAAGCTTGTTCGTGGGGCTCTCGTTTTACTCGCTGAGAGAGAGTTGGCTCGACATTACCGAGCTCTGGTGAAATACACAAAAAGGGCTGAGCACATTACCCTTCCAACTCATATGCGCCCATTCGCAGGTGATTACACTGCTATAATGAGGGCCACCAGAAAATGGATCTAGAACTCGCCGTGTCTTGGTACAAATATTATTTGACCCTGGAACATTTGATTAGGAATAGCCTAACCCTTTCGAATACGGTATTTGCTATTCCAAACCAAATGGGTAACCAATGATAAGTCAGTGAGGCATTGAAAGTGGGGACAGCCAGCCAAAAACAGTGTACAGAGAAGCCACTCGACTGATTCTCAGGGGTTTTGCTAAATCTATATTTTTTCGTTCTCGCAAAATCCGTCAACAAACAAAGATAACTCTCGAATGCACATCAAGAGAACATTCGTTATCAAGCCCAATAATTCCTCTCTTGGCTTATTCTCGGTAAGTTGTTAGCGCTGCCAAACAATTTGATCGCAAGTTCAGTGTGAAATAGTACCGCCTTGTAGCGAGCCTACTTGATTGAGGAGTGCATGCCACACCATGTCATCGAATTAGGCGAAGCTGTTAAATTCCTCCACTACAAGTGTGCTTTTTGTTTGTTATCGACGTGCTGGCCTTCTCAGAATAAATATCATGTGGGACTTGATGTCTGTTTCGCTTCAAGGTCCGGGCTCAGAGGTGGAGGTGATGGACGCTTGTAGGTCAACATGAACATGTTCTTCGAGATGCCATAAAGGCATCAATTCGTCAACTCGTGCGGAGAAATTGGGTTGCTAGGTAGTCGCGCCTGGTTTCAATGTTAGGAAGGGTGAACAAGTTGGGAAAAATGAGATGAAATTTGGCATGATGATACTGAAAAGAAGCACATACGATTATTGAAATCCCAACTCTCACCAACTTCTTGGTACCTTCCTCTTCACTGGATATGATACTCCTTTTCCGTACCTTTCTGGGACTAGAAGAGCTTGGACTGCGTTGTAAGGAGACTAAGTAGCCCAAATGAGCACAGAGTAAGTACTGGACGAACTTACGGCGCATTTGCACAATTTCGGCAATACCATTGGTTTGATTTGCGAACGCTGTTTCTTTCCCTGATTCTTGCCATTGTCGCCAATTATCTTTGGTGGTGAAATTTGTAGGTGTTTGACCCAAATAACTCTCCGGCGAAAACATCGTCAGAGCCATACAAACACCAACGCCCATGAAACATACCTCAAAAACCCCCCAAAAAGATCGCCCAACAGCAACAACCACCATCAAAGACCAACCCCAAGCCCACTAAAAACAGCCAACAGAGCAACAAGAGTTCCAAAGAAGTAATACCCGCCGGACAGAACCAGAAGGGGTAAAACCACACCTATCACCTATCCAGATACCGCCCGCAGGAACCAGGAAGAGCCGCCCATATCCAACGAACACAGTCGAAGATACAGCAGTAGGGTAGAATGTACCAGTACATGGCTCTCCTGCAGTATCCGACCTCGGTGCATCGGACCTTTTTCCAACTTGAGGATGGAGACAGTTTGGGGATGATAGTTGACGTGAGAGTGATGGTGGTTGGTGTTGTGGTGGTTTGTTGAGAGAAATTTTCCGAAGACGAATTCAGAGGTGCGGAATTTTGGCAAATTTGTTGTGCGCTTTGTGGGCTACCATTCGTGGTTTTGGGAAGGAACGCACTTGAGAGAGAAGGAAGCGCTTTTAAGGGAAGGCGCGATCTTGTAAACATCCAGCGAGCCTCACGAACTTGAGTATCTCTCACGAATTGAATACACCTCTAGCCATTTGTCTATTGCCTTTCTATTTTGCTTGACGGAAGTCTCAATGGCTGAGTCTATTCCTTCTACCAACCTTCACAATAAAGAGGCGACCCCAATAAGTGCGCAATGGACGATTCTGTAAACCCCGGTCTCCAGGCCAGCGGATTCTCTTTGTTCTGGCTCTGAATATAACTCAGGGTAAACCTCGAGCCTGCTCTGATAAATTTTGAAAAATTGTATTAAGTACCACGCCACCGTCGTCTCTGTCGAGTGGTGTGAGCGAGCGAGGAACAAAAGAGTAAGAGAATTGAAAGACTATACCATTATGGTGTGTACATTCTGAGTAACTAGAAGAATTGGAGTTGTATGAGCGCTCAGATCATGCAGAATAGAAGGGCACCGCTTATCGGTACTGACAGATCGCTCATTCCTTCTTGGTGAGAACTCGGCTGCACTTGCGCCCCTTCAACACATAAGTCGACGGTAAGGAGCTGGAGGAGCAAAAGGCCGTAGGTAGACATGTGGATAGGCAGAGACAAACCTTTGACGTATTTTATCATTCCCAGGTATCCGTATCATAGATTGTATACCCATTATCCGCTTGAACCAGGAAACCGCAAAACATGGATACCAAAGTTCAATCAAACAGATACATGTATGCCGATTTTTTCCTTTGAATTACGTCAAGTTGCTCGTTGGCAGACTGGCTGCCAAGGGTACCTAGGTAGGCATTTTATGATAAAGTACTGGTACGGTACAGCCACGTTTATTACCCCTTGACCAAGGGTTTGTAGCTGGCCAACCCCATGAAAGTTAGAGTCTAGATAGACATGCTGAAAATATCGCCAGAGTAAGAAAAAAAAGGGAAGTATTATTGGAAGGAGTGTTCCTGGTCTTAATTGAAGTACGGAAAGTCACCCTTCAGTAGGAAGTATTGGCGCCCAACCTCTCCAGCTCCTACTCCATGTATAAACTTGACACACTTTGTTCAAGCAATACTAGACCACCTCAATCAATTTCAAAATTTCGTTTCCTCGAAGTTCTAAAAACATCACCTTGAAGTCCGCATCACCAGTTTTCCCCAACGAAAAACGATGGTGTTGTGCCCCTGACACCTATTCTTGGGATGAAACGAGTTTGAGGGCTTCTGGTTGACTCGCTTGAGACGATCCGACGCTCGTATTTAAAATAGGCCACCACCATACCAGCCATGATGAAACGCATCCAGGTCCTTCCCCTTTGCCGCAATCCCGGACCCCATGGTGGTCCCAGTCTGCCTGACCAACAGCTGCCATTTGTTGGATGCTCAAAGCTGTGACGAACCTGGCTTCATGATAGGACGGTCGAGGTCCGCGCCACTGCCCAGCGTGTGTTGTACGTGGGTCGAGCGTGCTCTTGCTATCCGGCGTACAACTCATAATAGGCAGCGGACTACGCTCTGAGCGAATTCGCCTTCGACTACACCACTACCACAACCACTACTACCAGCACCTCGCGCTATCATCCCTAGCGGACGTTAGGAAATTGGGAACCAAAGAGTTTTTATACACCTCAAGAATACTTATACCAAAAAGAGAAATTCGCTGGACGAGGAAGCTGGACGACTTTCAATCCCACCACCACCAACACAACCCCTACACACCCAATGCCGAATCAACGATCATACCGACAGAGGTCAGCGTCGGTACCTCACACCCGACTGCTGCAATCATTACCTCCCGTACCTCTCCCTCTCGACGACATTCGTCCTCGACTGCAAATCGTCCCTTATCGAGATGACCCGGAAGCCGCAGAACGAGAGGTGGTGCGAATAGACGGCGCAACACCACGACCATCAGATCCCCCCGAGTACCAACCAATGTACGACTACCTCCGCTCCAAACAAGTCACCAGTGCTCATCCTCCAGCCTACGGCACGTCGCCCTCCTCAAGCTTCCTGCCAATGGTCACCGAAGCACCGCCATCGCTGGAGGAACCGTATCGCGATGAATCATTCGTGATTACCATTGATTCGTCCCCGCCTCCTCCTTCGTACCACGAGATATACCGCCAGCATGAGATTGACATGGATAACATGCAGCGGGCACTGGATTCGGAAAGCGACCCGGCGGAACAGACGGAGGATATATACAAATGGATTGTTGCGATGCTGTTGATTGTCTTGACTGTGTCTTGTGTTGGGACTGCGTTCAATTGGGGAAGACCCTACTAGTCAGGGCGTGCCCGATTCTTTTGTTGTTTTTTAATTGCCAGGAAGGCATTGGAGTTTGGTACAGCATCAGCATTTGTTTGGCGTTCTGGATTCGTATTTTTGGGGCTCTAATGGAGTATCAGGAGTTATTTGAATATTGAGATCTGGTGGTTAGGATGGCATATGGATGGCGATTTGGATGATACCTATATACCGTAAATGGCAGTGAGAATAACAAATTCTTAAACGTTCCCGGGTCATTGGTGGCTTGTTTTTTGCGTCAAGCGATGTCTCAGGTGGGGAATGGTTCAGATACTTTGTTTACTACCGAAAATATTTGGCAAGCCAATGGTAGCGGTGTTATCAAGCAAGTCAACATTGCTTTTTTATCTTCTTGATCAGAAAAAGCCGAATGCTCCTTCACTCCAAGCGAAAAAGACTTCCTAGCTGGAACCCGAGCGGCACTCTGATTATCGGGCTTGCAATCCCCTCGAAAAATTGTCTTTTGTTAAGGAGAAACCAAAATACTAGCAGAGCTCTTGTTTCCTGCCTTCAGAACAACAGTACCAAGATCTTTATCACTGATAGGTGCTTATAATCAATAGGGAGCCTTGACTGGCAGCGGTAAAGCCTGCTGTAATAGTTATAGATGGTCTACGGGATATCCTTGAGTCCTTGATAAACTTGGTGGGCCCGCTCAATACTTGCGGTTCTTTTCAATGGATGACAATGGAACCTCTCAGTATCTCAGCAAGTATCATCATCTCTGTTATGGTAGCCGTCTCTCAGTCTAAAATCGCGATACAGAAAGTTCTCGGGAATCAGGATGGAAAGAGATTGTCGCGTCTGCCGTCTATATTTGAGGACTTGAATCTTGGGATTCAGTAAGTTGCGAGTATGCTACGTCGGTCCTGAAATCAGCGCTCACGTCGCTTGAGCGGCTTGAAAGTGATGAATAAATGGATAGGAGAGGTCATTCATTGCCTTTAAAGAGACTACAGCAAAAGCCCAAATCGTGGCTACTGATGCACGACGAAGGAAGGCTGTGGTATGATACAACCTTTTGATCGAGAAGGATGAGTTAGAAGAAATGAGGCAGGTCATTTGAGGTTACTCCACGAGTTTGGTTTCAACTCACCTTACTACGCAGGTTTACTTCTCCCATCTTGCACCCTTTCTACTTCTATTGAGACATCAATTACAAATCATTAAGTCACAACCAGATACATTCTTATCTCGGGTGCTAATCCGCATCACAGATTGACAGAGACACAACATGCACGCAGCCTGCGGTACATCACTGAGGAACTTGCCTTCGTTACCGCAATTGGAATGAGGCATCCCTTTATTAATACCCTCCCAAACTCGCAGTACTCTTCTGTTAGTTTCTATACTCATGACGTCGACCTATTGGGATTTTGTAGTTGGGTGTAAGTATTGGGGAATCTTTGGGTAAATGCCTCCCATGGAATAGTACCGTAAGTCGCTTTAGTTCTCTTACTGTACTAAAAATACATCCATGACTCTTGAGGCTCAACACCTTTGCAGTAAAATCTTACAACGCCGCAAGAATTAATAGGAGCTTGAATTGCGCGCAGAATCTTTAGCGACCTGATGAATTTCAGGGTGATATTTGGCTTGCCGTCACACGGCTGTGTTGGTGGGTAGTGGACGTTGGTTAGATAGAGTCGTCAACAGGTTGTATACTATTGGGATGTCCATTTGTCGAGAGGGAGAGTAAACAAGGTAAATCTGGCAAAGAATAGAGTCTAGGTTATAATTACTACAGAAGAAGTTTGTTGAGATTTTACTCTGTCCTAATTCAGTTACGTAAAGTTTCTAAAGACGAACAAAAGTCACACCCCTGCGTAAGTGGGTATTTTCCTAGTGACAACACGTTGAAAAGCCCTTTTCATATGGGGCCAGGAAAAAGGGAAATAACATGTAATACCAAAAAAGGGTATACCGATTCTCATATCTATATCTAAATTACTTAACCTAATCCAAAAAATCAAATCAATAACTAAATCATCCGAAAACATCTTGACCTTTAACCCAGTCCATTCACCCAAGCACAGTCCCACTCCCCCAACTACCTAGATACCCGACATAGCCCCGACAAACTCCCGCTCACGTGCCCTCCACACCTCGATCCACCCGCAAAAAACGCAGTCAAGATCTCTAATAACGCAACCACTTTCGCCTTCGGGCATTTGGTCAATTTGAAACGATACAGAGAAGATTAGCATGGCCCCTGCACTAAGGATGACACGCTCAATCAAAGAGAAGCTACCAATTTTTTAGACCTTTTTTACTTTGTGATTGGGAGGGAACAGGGGTGTGAAGGGAATGGAATGGTTGATTTTTGGGGGGGTTTTTGAGGACGGGCTCCCAGTAGACAAGATAAGTGGCAGTAGTAAACTCCGTGTGGTGTGAGTAGTAAACACGGAGTTTACTACTGCCACTTAGAGGTCGGGTCGTGATGGGGTGTTTTTGGTGGTTGGATTTTGTGGACTCGATTGGTGGGAGAGAGAGAGAGGTTTGGCTCTAGTGATTCGTGAGAAGAGGTTTATGTCGATCGTAAATATCTAGGTAGTCTAGAAGTAACATTCTGCCTGCTTTTCGGAATCATTTCTATAATTACTAAAAAGGGGGTTCTAAGATGAAAATGTTCATTTTTGACAAATGCAGATGAATGCACGAGAACCAACTCTCCGCTACTATTTTCACACACTCCCGCCAGACACTAGCAAGCACCACGGGTAGGCAAAACCAAGAAAATTCTTGGTCAAGTTATTATCCCACAGAAATTCAAGATGAGAAGTAGCGCGAGAAGTCGCGACCTCAACTTTTATTCTAAATCAGTCTTCCTTCAAGATCCCACATCGTATATACAGACTAAGGCTTTCTCACCTCATAAAAGCTTACGGAGTACTCCTGGAGGCAACCTAGATTCCAGCTCGCCATGTGAATACAGCGAGCCGGACCGGAGCGGACCAATTATATCACTCGCTTATCATAAAGTCAAGTCGAGTACATTCTCACGCTGCGCTTCCTTCCTTCCAATCCCCTCCGCACACCCCCTTTCCCTGAAAAAAGAGACTAGAAAGAACCAAGGGGGTTAGGAAAAGATTAGCGGATAAAGTTTCCTGGGAGCACAACCTTGTGAGGTTGTAATATTGCCGGGTCAAATACAGCAGTACCTGGATTTCCTTGTGGCTCGCCGACGAGGCATTTGTGGCTAGTAGACACGCTTCGAGTATATCCTACTTGTTGGGCGAAAGGGACTGGTTCTTTTCGAGGTGTGAAGGAAGATTACATCTGGGGTAGGTACAGTAGGTAGATGGGATAGTTAGGCATATATATATATGGTAGGCCACGGAATCAAGTGAGAGATTGATATCTAACTTGTTTTGGAGAGTGTTTGGTAGACCAGGAAATCAAGTGGGAGGTTGATATCTAACTTGTTCTGGAGAGTGCTGTGGAAGTGGAAAGTAAGGGGACGATTAAAAACATGTTTTGTGAGGAACCAAAAAGGGGTACGGTATCAGAAACGGAATTAAGATTAGGACGGCGTATGGTATCTCGCAGAGGAAAAGGGGGCGCAAACAAATTGGTATCATTGCAAACTCCAAGCCCCCACACTCACAATCCCTATTCTCAATATCCCTTGATCAAGCATCCAATATCTCGTAGCAGATCTTCCTCACTCAAGAAAAAGAAACAAAGAACCAAAATCCCAAATCCCAACTCAAGCCTTCAAAATCACAAACTCCCCAACCGTAGCCCCAACCCCGTCCTCCTCCCTACACCCCTCCACAGCAAGCATCGCAAACCCCCCCGTCCACGCGCCCCCAACATCCAAATACCTCGTCGNCCCCAACCGTAGCCCCAACCCCGTCCTCCTCCCTACACCCCTCCACAGCAAGCATCGCAAACCCCCCCGTCCACGCGCCCCCAACATCCAAATACCTCGTCGTATTCCCCACCACCGGCACAATCTCATCACCACTCGCCAACGCCTCGGACGCATTAAACGGCCTCTCAACCCCCACATCACGCACCACAAACGCCGTCGCGCGATTCACCACCAGCTCCCCATCCGTCATGTTCCCCAGGTACACCGTCGCTTTGACGGGCGGGCGCGCGCCCCAGTCGAAGTAGATCCCTCGAATGGGCTGCGGTGGGATGGTGGTCATGTTGATGAGCAGCTCGGCGGTGTGGTTGCTGGCGGGTTGCCAGCGCGTGGCGGTTGCGCCGTCGGTGGCGGCGGAGGGGAACTGGCCGGGGACGTAGGGGGATGGGGAAGTCACGGGGAGGCATTGGAGGAGGTTGTCTGGTACTGTGAGGTTTTGCCAGTATAACCTATTTGGGAGCTCGAGGGTTTGGTTGAGTGCGATGGTGTAGGAGGTGTGTGTGTTTTCTGGGTTCGCAGGGGAACCGAGGATGAAGGGGAAACTGGTGTTGGCGTAGGCGTCGGGGACGCCTACTGCGGGGGGAGTGGTGAGACGAGTGAGTTTTGTGTGGGTGTTGTTCATGGAGGCGGAGAGGGTGACGCCTTTGTAGTGGAAGTTTCGGACTTTGATGTGTGGGATTTGAGGCGGGAGGGAAGGGTCGAGGAATAAGAGTCTTTGATCTGTTCGTACGCCCAAGAAACCGAAGAGGACGACCTGGTTCGCGCCCCCGTGTCCTGTTAAGAATGGGAAAGCTGGGTTTTGGTTGCCGTTCGTCTTGACATCGTCAACTGACTGTTCCGAGAATTGAAACCATGGACCTCTAGAGTATGAAAGTACACCTGCAAGGAAGTATGGATAGGCTGCGCATCCAGAGGGTGATAATTGGTTTGCGTTGATGGAAAAACTTGAGTATGTCATCGCTGGACCCTCGGCTGATTGTTTGTTCGAGTAGTAATCGAGGTCTTTGAGTTTGGCCTCCGTGCTGTAGTTTTGCATGTAATTCAGAGGGAAGTTCAGAAGTACCACATCTGCTTGCTTCACTTTGACTGAGTTGTTCATCGTCTCATACTCTTTAGAAATGCCTGAAGCCGCCACAGGGAAAGCAATTTGCTCGCTTAGGTCCTGCCATGTCTCATTGATGGGGAGACCGTCTCGACTTCGCAGCGAGTTCGTTTGCTTCAGGAGATCGGATGCTGAAGCGATGGTGAAAACTCCATTGTCCTTGTTATTTGCGTACTCGTCGGGATCGGTCATGTTTTTGATCCAATACGTCTTTGTGGTTGTGTTGTAGGTCAACAAATGGTTGGTCATGACCGCTGTGCTCTCAAGAACTTTTCTTGGGCCGTTATCAAGCCATGTCTTGTTGTCCGTGACATTATAAAGTTGTAGGATATTAGCAGTGATATCGTAATTGAGGTGGTACTCTGCGAATTGTTAGCATTGCTACTTACTGTAAATATAACAACCCCTAAGCAGACACAGAGAAAACGCTCCCTCTTAATTTTCCCAACAAAAAACACGAAAGAGTCCGCGGAAAAGAAGAGATCTTACCATAATCCACACAAGGCCCAGTCCCAGTACAATTCCCATAACGACCCGCAGTCCAAGAATACAACGAACTCCCATTCGGATACTTATTAAAGGCCGCATTATCCAGAGCTTGCTGATGTTGCTTCACCCGAAAGTTGGCAATCTGCTTTACCCAATTCGGATGAGTAAGAATGAGACCAGGAGACATCCAATAATCCGCATCCCAAAAGATGAGTCCAGCGTAACTATTCGAAGGAAGACCGCCAACCGAGATGCTATTATCGTTCAATCCACTACCATCTGGTTGGAGACTTTGAAGCAAATAATATGAGTTTGCTTTGGATTGGATGTGCAAAGCCAAGATATCGGGGTCGGTGGGCAATGCTCCTGTCGTTGGGTCTGTAAAGTCGTCCACAGAGTCGGTAGATATGATGTTGGACCAGCTCGTGATATGTTCTTGAAGAAGTGCGTCCCAACCACTGCTCTGTGCCCGGGCTTGTTCGGTTTGAGCAGTGGTTTTGGCATCGGTAAATTTGTCAGTCGATGCTACACCAACATACTTGAAGAACTCCACGGTCTGTCCAGCTTTGAGACTAATTGCGTAGCTCTGCCCGATTGTCGAATTGTAGAGTGGGATATTTGGCCCGCTTGCTGGAGCTCGTGAAGCAGTATCTGTCCACGGATTTGAGACATTGAGACCGGAAACAATGTAAGCAGTGATATTAGGTAAACCCGTAGGATGCACAGAAGTGTAAATAACACCATTGTCACTCAATCCCTTCTCATTAAAATCAGTTCGGACCGCACTTCTCCCATCGAGCAAATCCGTGACGGTTCCATTGATATCACTTGTCGAGGTTATGTTGGCTTTGACAGCTGCAACATTGGCTCTCTCTCTACTGAATATAGTCTGATAAGTGACGTTGAAGGAAGATGTGCAATTGTCGGGACTCCAAGTGAAAGACCATTCTCCAACACCCGTCTTGAACGAGACCGTAGAAGCGAAATTCGAAATGGCCGATCTGTTGACTGTAGCATCAAGAGTATGACCTCCAAAGGAAAACAAAACAGAGGTGGGATGAGGGAGTCCGGAAATAAAACTCTCCCATCCATTCTCATTTAATTCCGGATAATTCGTACCAGACCCATTGGGCTGGATGCCGTAGAACCCCGAGATGGTGTAGAAAGATATTCGGTCTGTGAATAGAGGCCAACCGTTCGTTGGTTGCTTTCCATCTGGATCCGTCTGGTTTACTTCACGTTCAAAGAAGGGTCCGATTGCGGCGAGCGATCCTCCATGGTACCTGGTGAAATTATTAATTCTATATCTGTGTTTGGTAGAATCGAATCGATGCTTACCCGTTGGAAAGAGAAAGACGTGATTGGTATTGACCTGGACGAAACTTCTCAGTTGTCAAGGACCAGGTTGACTCATTCCATTTATAATTTGATTTGTCTAGGACCGAGAAGTCCTCTGCTTGTGTATCTGGTACACCAATTGTGCTGGCCACAAGGGCTAGGGAAAACAACAACAAACTAAAGTTGAACATCATTTTCAAAGGAGTTGAGATTCAATTGGCAATGAAGGAAGGAAGCTTCAACGCTTCAATTTATTAGCAAGAGTCAAATGGCAATACCCAGCATTAGAGAGGCGGGGTGGCGGTGAGGTGGTACAGACAGGCGATGAGGGTCGGTGAATTTCCAAAAGGACCGTAGGATGTTGGAGACAGCAACTTCGACTATCTTCGGTTTCTTTGTTCCGGTTTATTTTCTTTACTCGACAAAGTATATGACGAGTGCCGCACGTCATGAGATCTCCTCAGCCGTACTCTACCCAACTTTTACTAGTAGGTCGAGTTGCCGTTCCTCGGAGGGATGCCAATTCATTATGTATGTACAAGTACTTCCCGTCACACATCTCCATGCCCTCGCAGATTTTCCTGCTGCTGACTGCATAATCAACCCCGGGAAGTGAGAACGAAATCCAGGCACAAACCGAATCAATTCATTGTACTCGTATTGTTGATAAATGAATTTAGGGGCTGAGGGCAGCTAGCTACGAGCGCGAGCACCTCAAAAAAACAGGCTTTACATAACCCCACCTTTCTCCCCCGCATTTCCCCAGAAGAAGTGAGAAAACGCGGTGTTGAATTTTATCAAAAACACACCAGATCAACACTTGGCTATCCCAAATAGTCATTATTTCGCCGCAAAAAATGATTACTTTGATCATCCGATGATTGGATAAAGTCTTTGTAAACACTACAAGTAAAAGCGGCAACCTCCCTCCACCAACTTCTCTCCCTCCACCAACTTCTCTCCCTCCTCCTATTCCTATCCAAAATCTCAGAGGCAAATAGTCACTCGAGAACTGTGAGAATAAAACCGATGGTGAGAGTTAAGATTAAACTCCGATTTGAAGATTATCAAGAAATACTCGTAAGGAAATGTTTAATAGAGGGGCTAGGGATTTAACCTAGCCACAGTACCCCAGATTCCATGACAGAAGCCAAGCTACCTAGCCAAGGAAAGCCACCAAAGTAAAGCTTCACCTTAGCTCTAATTTTACTTCTCTCTACTATTCATCCTATTCCATGAAGATAATTGCAAGTAAACACATAGGTAACTACTATATAGCTATATAAGAATATAAATCATCTATCTATTTCCACTTTCCCATCCTACGAGTACCTTACAACCACCAAAACACCACTATATAACGACTAACACAATTATCTAAAACACAAAATAACATCAAAACAACCGAAATCTAGAGCTAATAGATAGACAGTCAAAGTAATATATTAGTAGGTACTTTCTTATACAAATGTCAATTTTGATAATAGAACACTCTTTTTAATCCCAAAGGAAAATCAAATCAAATTATAACTCATAACAATCTCCCAATCCCAATCCCAATCCTATGTGCGAGGTATACCGTATTTCCCATTCCCATTCATTCCCCTTCCCCTTCCCCTCCCCAATCAACCCAACCCCATGTTCCCATATCATACAATCCCTCCCACCTCCCACCTCATCATACAAACACCCTCCTTCCCAACCCAATCCCACCACCATCCACACATCACAACACACTCCCCCCCCTCTCCCCCATCCTCGGCGTCCCCCATTCCCCAGGCACAAAATCAACCACCACCCGATCCCTCAGCATATCCTCAATACTCTTCTCGAAATCCCTGCGCGCGGGATCTTGTTCAAGGTAATACGTTTTTTCGTCGGGGGTGTGGAATTCGAGGATGAAGATGTGCGTGTGGGGATGCTTTACACGATACCGATCAGCATGGTGATTTATTGCGAGGGGTGGGAAGGTGAGATGGGAGGGGAAGTCAGGATCTAGGGAATATGGGAGGGAAGAAATCTATACCTGCAAATCCCCCGTAACATTCCCCATATTCCTCCCCCCTTTAATCGACTTGATATACTTATACGGGACACCATTTCCATCTGCGGGTTTCATGGATTTCTCTTGGAGCGCGAGGAAGCGGTTGCAGTACTGGAAGAGTTAGTAATTGATTCAGTTCACCTTTCCTCGCTGACCGACATCCCAGACAAGGAATAAACTCATAACCCCCTCATCAACACAATCAATGCTTTACAACACTTCAGAAAAAAACAAAAACACCAAAGGATAGGAAAAGGAAAGAAAACAGAAGGCGCAGTAAAAACTCAAACTCACAAACTCAATCCTCTCCAACTCAACCCCAACCCTAAACTCCAACATCTCAACATATACAATCCCCTCTCCCACATTTCCCCTCTCAACCCCCTCCCCTCCTTTCCCTCCTTTCCCTCCCCCCTCATTAACTCCCTTTTCCCCCACACCACCAACCCAAACCCTCTCCCCCATTCTCTCTTCCCTTGCCGTTCCGAACCCTCCATAAACACTCCACTGCACAAACAACAGGAACCCCAACGCAAGGAGTATGATGGTAGTTGTGAAGGTCCGTTTCTCGCGGGCGAAATCGCGGGGGAAGACTGGAAGGTTGGGGAAGAGGGGGGAGATGGGGATGGGGATGGAGGGTTTGCGTTTTGGGCGGGTGTGTGTGGTGGATGTTGTGCGTGGAGGGTTTGTTGTTGATGGCATGGTTGGTTTGTGGTTTGTGTTTTGAGATGTGGGTATGGGATGTTAGATGGGAGGATTTTGTATATATGGGTGAGATATATGATGATGGGAATGACAAATGTGGATTGGATGTGCTGTATGAGAAGTGCTAGCAGAAGCACCGTTCGTTCGTTCCTTCCTTCCTTTGATCAATCGAATCGCGGGTATCAAGGTACCTACCCAACCAAGGTATAGTAGGTAAGGTAGATGATGTAAGGTAAGGTAAGGTAAGACAAGACCAAAAACCAATCACCACCGCCATAGGTACCGTCAACTCAACCGGGACGAAACAAATCAAATCAAGTACAGTACAAGTAAGTAGTTATCATCCACCCATGTATCATATCATATCGTATCATATCGTAGCGTACTGTACATCCATCAAACAAAAGAGATATACCTAGATATATTCCCAAGAATCTCACTAATATCAAAAATAAAAATAAATCAAGGAATCAACATCATCAAAGGGAGGGTCTAGACCCACCATCCAAAGAAAAAAAAAACAAGCTCCACGGGAAGTGCAAACAATGCAGGAAGTGTCATCATCACATCCACATATCGTATCGCCTCCTAGCCTGCAGCGAATCGGGTACTGTACTACTGTAGTACCTTCCTAATAGGTAGCCGCTCCGCTGTCATCCCATAAAACACCAAACAACATCAAACAGTAAATAAAATAGCCTAAATACGCACCCATCCATCCACTCACACCATCACCTCTCATCGCATTCAAGTCTCGCCCCAGAAACAGCCGTTACAGCCCGCGGCCTTGAAACGATATATAGAGCACATCCTATATATAAAAGTATCCCAAGAATCCCCCCAAAAACAACAATCAAGAGAAAAAAAACTATAGATATAATACAAATCCCAAAATAATAATAAATATAATAATCAAACACAAAAAAGGTATATTAATTTGAACTATCTCATTCTCAACTCATCTAATACTCCTCGCACTAATCGTCCCCCAAGCATCAGGGCTATGTCTCCCATTCTGCCACCCCCCAGCATCAATGCTAACGCTTTCCTGACTAACATGTCTCGGTCCATTCGTCGCAGGAACCGGTGCAAATGACACCAAGGTACCTGTCTGTCCCCCTCCGCTAGCGAGACCACCCGGATTCGGTACATTTCCCGCTCCACTCAACATGAATGGGTTCTTACTTCCCACGGGAGATACCACCCCCATCTGCTGTTGTTGTTGTTGTTGTTGTTGTTGTTGCTGCTGGGGTTGAAATTGCGAATTTTGAGAAACCGCATTCATGTTTACATTTTGGTTTTGCATTGGATCCGGTAGTTGTTGTTGTGGATAATCTACCATTGGTGTTGGTGCCAATTGAGGATGATTGAAAAGATCCATGATACTCCGGTTATCCGCTTTAAAGGGTTGCTGGGAAACAACAGGCTGAGTTGGTTGTTGGAATTGTTGATAATACTGCTGTTGCTGCACGTGATAATTTTGTTGCTGCTGAGCCTGTTGATTCTGAATTTGCTGCTGAACTTGCTGTTGAAGTTGTGGCTGGGAGGAATTGTTATGAAGAAATGGATTCGATTGTTGCAAATTTTGGTGGCTATGCAAAGCAGAAGGTGAGCGAAACGCACTATCCATTGGGCTATTATATGTCGTGCTTTGACTGCCACTCCGTGGTTGTTGAAGAAATGGATTGTTCCCAACATTCGTGTTTAGCATTGGTGGCTGTTGATTTTGGAATTGCGGTTGTGGTTGTGATTGTTGCGGTTGAATCTGCTGTTGCTGTTGCGGTTGCAGCATAAACGGATTATAACTGGTATTCTGTTGCGATGGAGTAGGATTCTCATAGATGACAGGAGGATAGTATTGCTGTGCCATGGAAGGAACAGGAGGAGTCATGGATTGTTGGTACATCAGCTGTTGTGGTGTAGGCTGAGGACCGGGAAATCCACCTGTATGGTTCGGGAAAAGAGGTTGTGGTTGAGAAGCAGTGGGTGATATAGCCATGTTTTGGAACGATTGATTCAAATTAACATGCGACTGAGATGGCATTAATCCAAATGGATTCGAATTACTAAATTGTTGATGATAAGGATTGCTGTCTGACATGGGGCTTTGAGGTTGAGTGTTTCCTGTTGACTGCGAGGATTGTGGGTTGGCAGGTGGTGTTGGTGCATCGAGCATATCCCATGGATTACTTGATGCTTTTGACGGAGCGACTTTTTCTTCAGTATTTCCAAAGCTTATTCCGGCACTTGAACTTAAGGGTGCTCGCGCTCGAGGCGTTGGTTTCGTGCCATTCTCTTTGGGTACCGGGGTTGGTGCTTGTCCCTCTCCCAGTCGTACCAAAGTTTCAATTGACTTTTCCAAGTTCCCATTGAATCCCTTTAACACAGCCGAATTTCGCTTATCGTCTCTAAAACCCATATCCCGTAGCGTATCCAACTTTTGCTCCAAGTCGTCCTGGGAATCATTGCTGACGGATGTCGTACGGAAAATCCTGGATGATTTTTTGGGCGGCGGAGAAGGTGATCGTCTATATTGCGCCTCTTGTTGATCAAAATCATGGCGAGCGTTCGCTGCAGCTTCGCGTTTCGACTTTGAAGAGAGTGGAAATATCGAAGACGCCGATCGGAATCCAAACCTACTACTCCCAGGCTTTGGTGGTAGTGGTGGTGGCTCGTCAGATCCTCCTGTACTTCCTGTATGATTGGGCCTTACTGGCTCCCGCGCCTTGTTCATCCCATTCTGATATTTCTGTCGAATAAACCTTTCCATCGCCGAATCTGCTTCGTCGGCATCAATTGGGATTGGGGGTCTCGTATTGGTCGGATTGTATACTCGGTTCGAGGCAATGTTTCCGTGCCGCTTCATGTTCTACTAATTGTGAGCCAGAGCCATTCCCAGACGCGCGCGACCCAACATACCTCGACCTGCTCCGTAGACCACGAATCCATACTCAAAGACTTGACTTTGGTGATATGCGTCCCCAGCTTTCGATGCAACGCGGCGCACCTCATACAGAGGAAGATCCCGAGCTATTGGCTGTCAGTTCATCCCACCTTGCATTTCTGCACTGCAACGCGTGAGCAGGATCCGCGAAAACTTACACTCCAACTCGCCCATCCTATGCGTCGCATTAGCATTTGATCGCGACCAACACATTTTGGGGGTTCCATCGACTCACCTGGATTCCTGGCTTGACAATCCGCACACAAATTATTTCCCGGGACGGTCTTGATCAAGTCCTGAAGGGCGCGCTCATTGCGCGCCTGCTGCCGCTTGCTGAGAGCGGCCGACATGGTAGAATAGCCAGAAATTGTAAGAAAAAAGGTGTTGTTGATGCTGATGCGACGGCGGATAAAGAAGAGTCGAAGAGGAGAAAGGGGGTTGGATCGGAATATATTACAGCTTTATACAAGACATCCAGAAGCGGGTGGGCAGGTCGAGGGAAGATGATCGAGGTACAAGGTAGAAGGTAGAGCGAGGGTTAGGGTTTATTTCCTTATTCAGATGGATAGGCGTCTATTCGTCTAGTTCGTTATTCATGAGAGGAGATATGTACGAGTCCTGGCAGAGGTTGCACTGATCGCATGGCGCAGAGGGGAGGAAGGGGGGGAAGATGAGGAGAGAGCAACAGTGGAGTTGACGGGGGAAAAGGAGATGATGGTGGAAGATTGTCGATGTCGCGTCTTTTTGCGTCTGTTCGTGCTGTGCTGTGTTGTGCTGTGTTGTGCTCTGCTCTGCTCTGCTCCGTTCTGGCCTGCTTTTCTGCGAGTGGCCTGGCTTTGGCTTTGGCTTTGGCTTCTGGCCCGGGGAAGGGAGACGAGCGGGATGGGGGTGCAGGTGCAGGTGCAGGCAGGCAGGTGCAGATGCAGGCTCCGCGCAGCGTCCACGAGGTTCGCTGCTGTACGAGTCCACTGTGCGTGCGTTCAGGGGTCGCTTATTGGCCTGTCAGTACTAAGTGTCAGCTAAATAAGGAATCGAATCTCTTCTCAGAGTTCCCTCTCCCCTCCCTTTGGGCCTCGAGATCCACTACTCTCGGTCAACAGCTGAAATGGGACTAACACTAACACTACTAACACCCAACCCGTTCAACCTCCTCAATTCTCGTGCGATACGATGCCGGGCCTTTGGTGTTTGGAGTTGCCAATGTCAACATGTCACGGCAATGGGCATCGATTCCAGAATCGCATTCGTATTGCGTACCATGTAAATGTACCAAGTACCCTCCCCCTCTCCAAAACTACGCGGGGTCTTGTTCAAGATTGCTGTTGGCTCACGTCTTGAAACGTGTGCTTTATGCTTAATGCGAATCTCCTCCATGCTCCGAGTCGGATGCCAAGGGAGGGGGATCTCACCATCTGCTTTCCATGTCCGAGGAAGATTGACGACGAGTGGAAAGTCCACCATCTTTTCTTGTTTGTTTCTTGCTTTGAAAAGGTTGATATATATATATATATATATTGTTGTATATACTCCACGTCCAAGCGTTTGGTGTTTACATCCAACTTTCTATCCTCAGTTTTTCCACAATGTCAGAAATCTCTACGATGGATACTCCACAATTCCCAAGATGCTTATCAACAACCTCTCGGCCGCTTGCTTGCTTATGTGACACTTCGTAAGCTGTCGGGTAGGTGTAGGTTCTGTAGTCAAGCTGACAGCAGAGTAGATACCATACCTTCAAAAAGTTAGCGTCCGGGTCCGTTCATAGGGTTGTATTGATTTTAGTGCTAGTGGAGTGAGGTTAGCAGCTAGCTATACTCATATCCGACCATTAGTTACTAGATTCACTCTGGTCTCTTATTCTGATCTTAGGTCACAATGTCAGTAATCCAATCTACCATCAATACCGGAATCAAGTATAAAATCTCTTTCAGTCTCTCCTCCCTTTCTTAGCCCAACATCTCTCTTAATATCCCCCAAAAACCAATCCACCGCGTCTGAACCTCGGGGGAGATGTGGGTGGGATATATTTTTAGGTAGGAGATAATACTGGTTATATACTAGAAGATAGATAGATTAGATTGGCTATAAGGTTATACACAAAAACCTTCCATCCTCCGTCCACCTCACTAAAATCACTACTCCACATAAACGAGAACAAGGGATCCTCAAGAGAGGGAGGGGTAGTTAGTTAGTACTTCCCTTCTACATCTCCTCTATCTACCTAGGTACTCTTATCATCTTACCATCGAGTGCCCCTCCTATATCAATGATCAAAGTAAACGAAGCCAAACAATCATATCAACAAAGAAGAAGCTGCATCTCTAACAGCAGGCAAACATCATCCCAAGGCTAGATAGAGTTCCTTAAAAATACACGATTTTAACCTAACCTAACCAAACCAAACCAACTCACGAATTCACCTCCCTCTCTCAAACATAAATGTCGATTAGCAACAAGCGACAATACCCCCCTTCCAAGTATCCACCTCATTAGTCTCAACCCCTCCCTTATTAAATTAATTCAAGTCCCACGCATCATCTCATACCTACCTATCTAGCTCCGATCACCTTCCCGATTCTCCTCGTCTAGCTTAAATAACCTCCTCGACTTCTCGACTACTAGACTACTCGCTATCAACGAATAACACATCCTCTTGTATGTGGACACTAAACGATGGGAGTAGTAGTAGGAAAGGCCTCTCATCATCTCCCCTTTGCCGTAACTTCTAAACACATCCACATTCTTTCTAAATTCTATTCATCTAGATCTATAGTATCTACATCTAATCAAAGCATCTACCTTCTATTACTAAAAGACATTATTCAGAGATTCTTAGTCCACAACGCGGTACTTCTAAAGAACCCCAATTTCACTAATACGAAAGTTCCTATTAAATAAGACATCGCATTACAATTTTTTTTTTCCATTTTTTCATTTTTCATTTTCATTTTCTTTCACCTTGATTCTTCAATTTTCTTCGTCTTTATATCTAGGAAGAAAAGGAGAGAAAGAAGGGTATCTTGAGAATTGATGATTACTACTCTATCTACCCTGGTACCGAGTTGGAATTTACTTCCCCAAACCTCTAACTCCCCCTCACTCCCTATAACCCCTCTGCCTTATACCAAACAAAAACACATCCCCTCCCTCCCTCCCTCACTTAACCCCCCCCCC